CACAAAACGACAACCAAGATGACAAGAAGATGCAAGTCACCGTTGCTTACAACCATTTTGGTAAAGGGCTTGTGCAGAGAATGCCAAGGATCCGATGGGGTTTCGTCCATGTTGTCAACAATGACTACACTCATTGGGAGCTTTACGCGATCGGAGGTAGCCAAGGTCCTACAATTCTCAGCCATGGAAACCGTTTCATCGCTTCTCTTCACAAACCTCAGTACAATGAGGTACAAACATATATCAACTCAAAGGCTTGATTATGTGTCAAAGTTTGATTTGTGAACTAATAGAAAGATGTTTATATAGGTGACGAAGAGGGATTATTCTCCGGAAAGCGAATGGAAAAACTGGAATTGGAGATCAGAGAGAGATGTTTTCATGAACAAAGCATATTTCAGACAATCTGGAAACCCTAAGTTCAAGTGTTCGCACTCTAGACAACAAATGATAAAGCCTAAACATGGTGTGGCCGTTTCAAAACTTACCAAATATGCCGGAGCATTGGATTGCCGGGTCGGAAAACCATGCTAAAATATATCTCACTAATACTTTTTTTTCTCTCTTGTATCTAGGCCAGGAAATTAAAAAAAAAAAACTATGAGGTGAAAATGGAAAAAATCTAATTTATGAGAATCTTTGTGTAAAGAATAAATGCGAATGGCTGGATGCTTTGTAATTCTATTCTCTCTGTGTTCATTTGTCATGTATGTTTTGGTTGTGCTCGCTATAATTTCATCCACTATTTTATTTTTTGGGAAAATATGAAATACCTTGGAAAAAGGGAATTTTGAAATTAAAGTTGTTAATTTAAAAAAACAAAGACTTTCATACACTATACTTAATTACCATAAAGTAAACATCTTTTTGAAGTAACATTGGAAGTTTCATTTAAAAGTAATAATCATATATAATATTACCCCATACATTTAGATCGTTTTTGTCAGATTTGTCTGATTAAGTAATACCTTTGAATTAGTCACTTTTTTGTCCCATTTTTAAGTTTATGGCTAAAAACAACCTACAGAAACATATACTACCTTTTAGTTATACGTTCCAAACTTGGTTAGATTGATAGTGCAACGATTTAATTTTAAAATGTAATCTTCTATATATTAATAGAGGACACTGGATAAAAATCCTAGGTATCATTCTAAGAGGATTTTAAGAAATTCATTTCCTAATAAAAATTATTAAAAATTATTAAAATTTTTTAATAACAAATATATGGAAATAACGAATATGTGGTAATTAATATAGAGAATTTTATTTAAGGAATATATAAATTATTTAAAAATATCTTATTTTCTTTTCAATAATATTAGATTTTTTTATCCGAGTCAAAAGCGGTATTAAAATATTTAAAAACAAAAATTCATGATTATTTTTAATAGATGGGAGAAATGAAAAATAACAAAGATAAAATATATTTATGTTTGATCAAAATTTAGCTTTATTATATATATGCACAATACATATTATTTTTTGTGTGTTTATAAATGTTAGAATACACGTCTAAATATTAAATTCGATTAAAAATATATTTAATTATTTAATCTTACGCTTGGCATGGATCAAAATCTAGTGACTTTTAAATTTGAATACGTCGATAAAATTAATTATCGCATTGATCATAAACATAGATTATAGAGAATCGCCAAGCTGGCCTTGAGCTTAAAATGTCTTTCTTTCATTGCTTAATATAATGTCTAAATCGACACAATTGACCTTTCAGGTCAGTAGAAAATCTATTCGCAAGTTGATGAAACTAAATATATAAATAATTAAAATAATTCGAGGAAGATTGGTAAACATACGAAACCTTCGTCACTACCATTTCGTTTTTAAGAAATGTTATTAGCAAATTTAATAATACATGTTTAATCACACGAACATATACATAATTATACATGTTTTACAAAATGTTGAAAATTCTCTCGAATATATAACTACAAGTATACGGTATATACAATATATATGTATGCATCCCTAGACGCTTGGAGTATCGCTAATCGAAGAGAAGAGGAAGAGGAAGCAGATGATCTACGCCAACAATATGTTTCACACGTTTTATCCCTCACAACCCCCAAATCTCGACATGCCAGATCGATGCATCTTGAACTGATAATGGTTCGGTCAGTGGATTGGGATGTGCCTAAGAGACTATACATGTCTTCTCACCTTCGGTATGAGA